AAATAAATAATTTCTCGATCGACTCACCGCGTTGTAAGAACGTTTCCAAATCGGGATTAAGCTGAGTGGCCGGGTTGCAATGCAGACACGCGACGTTGACGACGTTTGCCAAATAGGGCACAGAGTCAGCCACGGTGTAATGACTATTCTGCAGCGTGAGCGGAATCTCCGTAGTCAAGTCTCGTACATCTGGCAATTGACTCCCTATAAAATACACGATTCGTCCAAACGAAGGAATCAATGAAACCCATCGAAGATACGCACCTAGATATTGTCTCAAAACCGGTTGCAAGTATCCACTGATCATGATCCAGTGCATGAGTCTCAGCGTGAGGAGGCAGGCAACGTTCAAGAGACTTTGAAAGAAATTCATATCCTGCGTGAAGGGTTTGCCGAAATACGGCGTGACGGACCATGGCGATGGGTTCCCTTGTCGGCTGATCGAACCGCTGTACAAGGCTACCTGTGTTCATTCATCAAACCGGTTTCTCAGTACTCTTCGATCGAGATTGTTATCGAAACTTGATTAGAAGATAAATTAACGCATTCGCGACGGCGTTTGAATTAATTAATTACCTTGGCTTTTTGTATTCTTTTTGCACAATTTTTCACGGGTGTTCAAAAAGGTTACACAATGTTACAGTAACGATAGTGGCTTCTGTACCGACGATGAGTTTATTTTTCTTATGAGTTTATTTTCTTATGAGATGAGTTTATTTTTTTTATTTATTTTTCTGATGAGTTTATTTTTGTTCGCCTGAAGCTAATCCACGTGAAACAGATATTTCGCTCTTTGATACATGCGCCTAATACATATGCATGTACCACTCCGGTAGTTTGGTTTCGAGTATGTAAATGTTTTGCAAATATTTTTCTATTGATTAACTCGGGACGAGATATTACCGTGTTTAACATGATGGTGGGCACGTGCTCGCCGTGAAGAATTCCTAGAAGACACTCGGGGAAAGCTCCGTCGACGACGACGATGTCCCATCGCGCGTGAGGGTCGCCTTCGGGCTTCCTCAAAGAAGACACGGACGTCTCGTCGCGAAGAAGAGCCTCGCAAGATTCCCAGCCGTATCGCATCGCGTCCCATGGAGAAATAGGTAGTTCGTTACGAAATCTGGCGCCGACCAAATCCCATTCGGCCGTGTAATTTCCGACGTAAGCCTGGGCGTGAAATGTTTGAACGTCGTTGAACTTTTGCGATAAATATTCGAAAACTGTTAAGTAAATTAGTGGAAGTTGACGAGAAATTAGCACCTCGAGAATGGGTGGGACGATCTCTCGTAGTCCGTTGTTCGCGGCGGGTCCTGGAAACGCGCTCAAGAGGGTCACGTTGTGCCCTCGCGCCTTTAAACTGTTGCCCAACGCGACGAACGGTACCGTGTGAGATTTCGTGCCGCCCATCGTGGCCAGCAGGACGTTGAATCCCGTCGCCAGACGCCAGGATACAGCCAAGAGGATGACCACGCGACTCACAGAGTTCATCTTCGATTTTATAAATATTCAAAATGATTTTCTTCCCCTCTTCGATTGCCCCGATGATTTGGCGAATCTATCTGACGATAGATTTTATACTCGAATCACTCAGATCGATGTCGGAGTCCTTTGATACATAAATCATCATGGAAATAACACTATTTTCATTTCTTGGTAATTCCTCTTGCACAATCCTCGGTACGATCACTGATATAATTATTTATCGATTTCTTCGAGTCTTCGGTACAGAACGATGCGAACGTCTGGTCCCCGTAAGTGGAACCCTGGCTATATAAACTGGCCAGTCAAAATGCTCGCAAGACGGGAGGATCTATTATCATTGTAATGACCGGTCGACGGATCGCGTGAATTTCGTAGCAGTCTCGGGCGAGTAACAGGTGGAATCTTAAGTTGGCCACTCTTTTATCTTCTCGCGAAATAACCGGGCATAATCAAGTCAGTTGGTTCCTTTATTCCCAAGATTTCGTGAGTTCTGAAATCAAGGTAACTAATTTTTCTGGCACGAACGTTCAACAGGCACACGAGACTTTCACTAATAACGCGAGTTTCAAGTGCAAACAGACAATGGTACGATCTCTCGAGAATGTCGATTCGATCTTCTCTAATTGAACATTGCGGATTTTATCTAATGAATGTGTAGAAAATATAAAGAATCACATAATGTTTAAAATTTATTGAAACGTCGAAGGAACATCGTATATAATTTCAATTGAAACCATGAAAGTTTAATTGCGAGTTTGATAGGATTTACTCCAAGTAAGAAATGGAATTGGATATTGCGTCGGGACGGCGCGGGATATCTCTTTGAAATTGGAAAGAAGATGAAGTTTAAATGGAATACTAATTGCCCGGGATTGTAGAGACTGGAACACGTGAGATCGTACGGATTACCATGAGGAGAACGAATTACGATTTACCTTGCGAGATCAAAGTTTATCTCCCCAGTATTGAAATTGCCGATTCAATCTTTATTCTTAGAATCCGTATCATTTGCAATTCTCTATGAGACGAACACGGACTACCATGACGAACACCACTAGCAAACTCACACGTTTCAGTGTTTCCTATTCTGGCATCGTTGGAGCGACGAAAAGAGTTTCTTCAAAAATCATCTTTGAACACGGTGGTAGGCGATCCGGAACACTTTTCCTTACCTCGGCGCTCGCCCTCGACTTTCTTCCTTCAGTCTACGCTTGGCCAACGTTCGTAAACGTTCTCCCAACCGATTTAATCACCAGGAAATAATTATTATTAATGAAATAACGTTCGTACACGCTCGATTCATCAGCGATAATCGACACTTTTTAATGAATATTCACTTTGTTGGATCTTGATTGTATTCGGTTCGCGCGTGATTCGAATCAGATCGAATGTTTCGAGTTGTACTTGGAGCGAGAAAGAATCGACTCATCGATTTTCGCGGACCTTGATGCTCGACTACGAGGTACGAAGCTCGGATATCACCGAGCGTGAAAGTTTGACTGGCCAGCGGTAGCTTTAATGATCAGCTGTGCTCGAGAGAGAGAGTTTTGCCTCCCACCAGCACCAAGCACTTGCTCTTTGATGGTCCCCGTTCACAAAGATGTTCCGTAACAATAATAAGAAATGCAAACCGATACACCAAACTCAATATACAACGTTCACTCCTGTTTACGAAGCGTGAGATACTCCTAACTTCTTACAACCGGACGAATGTAGCC